CAAATCAGGCTAAAGCGCCTTAAGAAACGCCATCCTGAAACCATCCCCCCTCCCCCCTCCCCAACGTCTCATCTACCAAAACGTATCCAGAAAAAGTCAATGACCACAGTCCATCAGCTGAAGAATTGAGGTCCGCAGTGGACCAGTGCGGTATTTTGAGGCTCCAACCCAGTCTGGATTCCTCGTGGACTGTCGGTGCTGCTGGTTGGGGTGGTGTTTTTGGGCTGGTTGTACTCCGTGCTTTCGGCGTACATTGGGCCGAGCGTACCTGACTGAGTGACCGTCTGGGCTGGTCAGTGCTGTCCAGATGGCTACTACTGCTACGCGCAGTATTGTGGGCGCGCTATTTTCGCGGATTTTATCAGCCGTGGAGCGACGGCCGACACTCTGTGGTGGTGCGCGACTGTTGAGCACTTCGGCGGTGCATTGCAAAAGCATCAAAGAGGTTTCTCGCGTCGGTAAGTACATTTTTTTACTGTGCAGGGCTATTTTAGTGAGGGGGCTGCCCTTCCTGAGACGTGGTTCCGGAATGAAGAATTGCAAAATTTAGCAAGGAGAACAAGAAACTGACCGGAGGAGCGTGTTAACTTCGATAAAACGCCACAACTTGATATTTTACTTGATATTTGATCCCTGGAAATGGCTGCTGATTCACCATTGAATCATACTGGCCACGCACCTCAGTGAACAGGCAAACAAACAATCAAGTAAACAGCAGAAATAGGCAAGCAAACGGTGTTACGGTGTATAAAAAGTGTGCCATTTTCCTTCCTCAATTCATTTCACTTATGGCAGTTTTGGTAATGGTAAGAAATGTATACGACTTAATAAACCGAAACATTTTTTATCTTTATAATAATCTCTTAAATTTTTTAAATTTTCATTATTTTTTTCCCCCTTTTCTTTCTTTCTCTTTATTTCATTCCTTTTTATTAAATCACTGTAAAAGGCAGTACGGGCCTCAAGGGCCCTGTGAGGAAAGGAAGAAGGATCCGGATCAGCGGCCCAGTAGCTAAAGGTATTACTCGGAGGAACGGCAAAATTCGTCAGTGAAATAGGAATGTGCAGTGGTGGGACGGAAATCGCCCAAGGTCTGTGGTGATAATGAAAGAAAGAAAATAAAAAGGGTTTAGATTGTTGTGACGAATATTTTTTTAAAATAAGTCAAGGTGGAAATTTAAAAGAAGTCATGTGAAGAGCTATATGTAAAAAAAAAAACTTTCTGTCAAATTTTATTCAATCGCCAAGCACGACACATGTCGCAGCCGTTTTTTTTTTTTTTTGACCAATACTGTATCGCCTGGTGGACAGCCTTCTGGCGACCCCTCGTCTCTTTCATCTTCGGTGAAGTTTGTCGATTCGGCGGTGATTCTCCTGACAAAAACTGTTTGACAAAGCTTTAGCCGCTTGAAGATTCAGCGATTTGTATTGAGCGTCGCCCGCTCGTCCTCAAGCATTTTCATTTGCAGAACACGTTGAGATACCTTACCAACACGGTGAGAAGTGCCCATGTAATGGCAGTAAATAGAAAAATAGAATTAAGGAATTAGTAAAAGTAGTGAAGTTATTTTAATAAAATTATTATAATGATAAGAAATTTTTCGGTCCCA